TGTTTTTAATTAATTTCATTAATACAAATTTTTGCGCAATATTTGATTTTAATGTTTTTGACTTAAAAAACTAGTAATAAAAATTAAAAGAAATTAATTCATTAAAAAAAAATTTGAACTACAAAATTTAAAATAAATTTTGTACAAAAAAATCAAACAATTTGAAAAGTATGTAGTTTTTAAAATATATGTATGTATGTTTCGAATTTGGTTACTAAGTTAATCAGATCTATCCCTTATTTTAAAAACAAATAATTGGGAATATTGTTCACATAGAAAGAATTCCCCATAAAGCTGAATGTTAACAAAAAATTAAATACAATTTTATAAATATTGTTGAGACCAGTGAAGTTAATTGAATTTTTATTTTGTTTACAATTTTTTTTTTGTTTACAATTTTTTTTTGTTTACAATTTTTTTTTTGTTTACAAATTTTTATTTGTTTACAATTTCTTTCTTTGTTTTCAGAAATTTCGTTTTTTTTTTGTTTTCAATTATTCGGCCATATCGTGAATTCCATGTGAACAAATATTCCCAAAAACTATAAAGCAAAACACAATTATTTTTCCCAAATTGTTTTGGTTTTGACTGCTAAATAATGGGAACGATTTATTTTAATGGGATTGGCTATAGGCCTAGGCTCGAATCGTCACATAGGATATCTTATTACTCGTATTACTTTATCCCATTCAACTTATACGACTGACGTATGTATTACGTAATTTGTAGCGGCACTACTAAGCCCCGCCTTTTTCAGGCCAACATTCAATCATTTTCGTCAAGCTCAACTAACGGGAGGCCCAGGAAACGAGCTGTTTCAATGGGGTCGGACCAGAGGGAGAGGGGTGTTAGCTGAGTCGGATTGAGCTGGCATGTGAAGAGGTGGTTGGTGTCGTGAGGGGATTCTCCACATGCCGGGCACTCATTGGGGATATTGGGGTCGAGTCTGCACAGGTAGCTGTTGAGGCGGCTACAGTATCCAGACCGTAACTGAGCCAGGGTAACGCGGGTCTCTCTTGGCAACTGAAGCTCCGTCTCTTCTACAGGTGGTGATTGGGCTCCTATTACGGCATTCATAGGTCGAGAGTCAAGGTAGGTGGTGACTGACTGTCTATGGATGTCGTTAATGGCTCGTCTGTATGTCGCCGGGTCCAGTGGTTGGTCTACGTATTGCTAACATCAGCTGCTAATCACTGCAGCGCTACTCACTCCATCAATATGAATCACATGAGAGCTGACGATCAACAAACTAACGCCGACTTAAGAAAGAACTAAAAAAAATACAAAAATTCAAGTTAATTTCCCTGCACAAATCTCAAAACACGAAGCTAGCAAATCATAGAAAAGATAAAAAAAAGCTTCAGAAAGAATGCAAAAAAAAAAAACAAACGCTAATTATTTTTTCAAGTATAAAAATTTTTATTTTCACATTGGGTTTGGGATGTGTATACATGTGTGTGTGAGTGTATGTGTGTATGTTGGTGTGAGTGTGTTTTAGGGTCACAGGCCAATTAAATTCTCTCATAAGTGATAAATTAAAAGTAAACAATTAAAGTAAATGTAGACAATAAAAATAAAATGTATTAATAATGAAAAAATAAGTTTAAATTTACATTTACGCTAAGTTTATTTTTACAAGTTTACTATACATAGTGGTGTTTTATTCTTTTGTTTTTTTAAGTAAAATTATGTAATTTTAGCTACGCGAAGATAGTACAACGCTTTGCTTGCTTGCTTATTTATTTATTTATGCTTTTTATTCATGGTTACTTTATTTTATCTATAATAAAATATACATATAGTATTTATATGCAAGTATGTATTTACAAAGAGCTAAAAATACAATATTTATAACAAAACGCACTTAACACACACGCACACCTGCGTCCAGACACCGACAACACCCGTTGTGCATCGTCCACAGCTTCAAACAAGCAACACAGCAACAACTATTTAATTAGGTATGTCATCGGGGTTGGGTATTTGGGTTAGTCGATGAGTGTGTGTGTATATATGCGGCGCTCACTCATTTTAATTCGTTCGTTAATTATAACTTTAATAATATTCATTTATGTACTAAGTATGTATTTATAAAGGATTATTAAATTTCATTTGATTTATTTTTTCATTTCTATTTTTCTCATTTTTATGTTTTTTGAAACTTAGTAAGCTAGTAATAAAAATTTATATACTACATATTTACAAAAATGTGTGGACATGTATGCGGCGGCGAACGCGCAGGTGCATACTTCAGGCACACTATTACCTTTTTTTTAATTACTTTTTTGATTAAACACAGCAAGGGCAGAAGTAAGAGAGGAGGAAAGCGGCAGTAGGGTTAAATTATTTTTATTTGTAGTTTGAGTACACCAATTAACGATTTCTATGCCTGCATAGAAAGCGTGTGCAACAAAAAATCAAAATAGCAGATTTGTGTAGACTGTCAATAGAGCAAACATTGGCGCGCGGGCGCACGCACGTCATCACCGCCGCCAACACCACCCACCACTAGCGCTGCTACACTTCCAGCACGCTGCTGAACTCGCGTTTATTTCATGTAAAATTTACACATTTTTAAATTAAGATGTTGAGTTAAATAAACAGGGATGTTATCTACATAAGGGTGGTACAATCAATATTATTTTTTTGAAGTTTTATAATTGAATACGTTTTATAACTATAGGCATAACTTTATAATTTCCATGTTTAGTTTTTTTATTTTAGTTTTTAATTTGATTGTGTATATCAACACTTATAACTACTTATTTTAATGCAATTTATTCAAATTTTTTTTTATTTTAACTTTTATTTTAATTTTAATTTAAATATTCGGGGCTATCACTGAATTCATCGCAGCCCGATTGTTCGAAAAATCTACGAAAATTCTACGAAATAGTTACGAACTTACCATATAATTTGAATACATAACGCTTGTAGCAATTCGGATTCTGCGAACTACGATGGATTCAGCAATAGCCCCGATTAGCTTTTCTTCATAACTAAAATGTACGCATATATAACACATTTATTTTAACACACATACATATTTTTACGCTGATTTATTTTAAACTGTTTTGTACTATTTTAGAAATTTTGCAGATTGTTTTTTTTTTATTTAATTTTTTTTCAACTTTATTCCTGCCTATTGACTGCCACTTAATATTATTTTTAAATTTTTAAAAAATTTTATTTTAAGTTATAATTTAAGAAGCACTTAATTTACGTTATACATTTATGTACATATGTACATAAAGGTAAGTAGCATTAATTTTTATAATTTTTTATTAATTTTTAATGCGCCGCCTCAATTTTCGCTGTGGTTAAACAATGACTGCGTGTTAGATGATAGCAGTAAAAGTAAATTATGTGAGTATGTGGAAAAAATGTATGAAAAAATATATTAATGTTTAAAAATTATGAAACTGGTATAAAAACTAAGCGATTAAAAGTAAAAACTAGAATGTTATTGTTAAAAAATATATAGCTTCGACACATCAAATAACTGGAAAGCGCAAGATTACCAAAAGAATTAAGCATAGCTCAAGTTCGTAAGGAAAAGGAGTTGACACCAGGCTAAAGTTTTTTTGTTTGAGACTGCTTTAAATTTCATCATAACTTCCTTAAATTGTTTATTTGTGTCGAATTTCTAGATTTAGAATTATTCTTAAAGTAAAAAAATAATGATTAAATTAAAAAAGTAAAAAATAGAATATTCAGTTGAATTTTCCGGCAGAGTGTCTTGGCATTCTACGGATGTTTTGTTTATCTCTTCATTTTCTGAGCATTTCAACGGCAATTTTTTTTTGCAAATTTTTTATCTTGAAGCAGTTTCAAGGCATAAAAATAATTGTTGCCAGCCATCGTTATCAGTGCACAGTTTGCTAAATTCAATATTTATGCGTTTTGCATTTTGATTTTTTTTTTTAATTTGTTTCAGCCGCATTTCTACACATAACGACAAAACCAATTTACGAGTTTTTTTAATGAACTGTTGTTATTTTTGCTTTGTTTTTCCAAGTTTTTATTTTATTTTTCTCTTTCACATACCCCTCACATACCCAAAAAATGTAGATACTTATAGCTAGATAATGCTTTGAGCAACAAAAACAAAGAAATTTATATATACACTGAAGTAAGAAGTTTAGTAAAATTAAAAAAAAAAATTACTTTGCATCGACTTATATTAAGTATACGCTGTGGATTTTTTTAGAGTATTACAAAACAGCATGGAAATATATAAAATAGTAATTGTGTTTTGTATACATAAATAACGGCTTATTAACAGAAATTTTGAATTAAAGAGAAACTTGAAAATGAGTAATGAAATATTAAAAGGGAAAATAATTAAATAATCCGAGTGCTCGAAATGTTAAATGTACACACAGCGATAAAATGTCGAAATATTGCAAACAATGATTTTCTAGATAATGTTTTATGTACATAGTAGTATGCGTTTTTTTCGGCTTTTGAAACTAAAAATAACGAATTAATGCAACGTAAATATAGAGGTTTTTGAGGTCATCAAATTAATATACAACAAAATCCAATCAAAAGCGAAAAACGAAAATTCTAAAAAATTGTATCTCAAAGAAAATGCCACGGAAATTGAGCTAAATAAAACTTTTGACGAACGAATTCGATGTCCAGACTGTTAATTGTATTTACGTATGTTATTAAATTTGCGCTGATCATTACAGGCTATTAAATATTCAAAACTAGCAGGTATCAAATGCAACACTGCATGAGTGCGCGAAATAACGATTAGAGACAGCTTAACAGCTATTTTACTAAAAGGTTTACGGCGTAAATTTAAATTTTTTGATGCCTACGTGCGAATATTTGTAAAGTATTGCATATAAACGATTTGACGCTTATAATTTCCTTTTAAAAAAGTGCTAACTATGGTGATCTTACAAGGAAAAATGCTAAATAAAAACCTGCTGCAAAATTATTTCAAATAAGCAGAATATAATTAAAGATTAATATTGATGTTTTAAACAAAAACTTCGCTGATTTGGCACGCTGACAACATCTAAAAGACTCGACGCATATTTGTTTTCAGCATTTACTGTTTTGCGCTTTCTCATTGTAAACTAACATTAATTATTTATATTCACGCTGCAATTAGCTAATATTAATTTATATTATTTATTTACATTTAGCATTTAACTTCATTTTAATAATAAATTTCTTTATGGGCTTTTAAACTAAAAACTTACTCTATATTAACGTCTGTGATATATAAAGCAAGTATGTACTATGTGGGGGTATTGAAAATTCATTTAACGTTGTCGCTGCTGGTTTGTGTTAATATTTAACTCATAAACATCGCGCTCCAACAAATTGCTTATTTCTTTTCGATTCGTTTAGTTATAAATTTTTGTCTAAAATTTTTGGCTATTTTTTCAATTCTACTCTGCCATAAGTACATATACATATGTATGTTACAAGTAAATATTAGTAATCTCAAGTGCAAAAGGACTGGTTTAAGGAAAGATAAAATTTTAAATAATCGCTTTAATATTGCATCTTTTGCTTGCATCTTCTTGCACTGGCGCTGCTGTAGTACTGCAGTTCTTACTTGATTTATTAGCAACCTTACCAACACATTAGATATATTGTGTTATTACCCACAAAATTAGCTGCTACCATATCTTTTTTAACAAGCACATGAAATTTATTCATTCACTTTGCCTACACCATCATCTTGATTCCTTCACGTCGCTGAATCATTGCCACTTCTCGCCGCAACAACTGTGTCCTCATCTCTTGATGGAGTGGCAGCTCTCGCCGCATTGGCAGTTGTTTCTGCCTCATTCGACCACTTATGGTTTGAGCTGGAGGTGGCGGTGGTGCTTGTCGCCCGCTTACTTGTACTTGCGCTACTGCTACTAACACAACCTCGTTCGGGACTTGCATCTCGTGATGATTCCCGCGATGTCGACGACGATGATGATGAGGATGAAGAAGAAATTTCTTCAAGACAATTGTCCAAATTGTCTGTGGACGAGATGCTGTTAGTGCGATTCACATAGAGATCACAATCTGAAATTTGTGAGAGTAAAAGGGGAAAAGTTGATGGTAATTGTGAGGTTATAAAATTATTTTTAAGATCTTGATCATCGACTCCTTAGTTGATTTTCAAAAGGATGAAGAACACATAAACGCGTTTTTCATAGAACTCTAAGTGTTTAAAGCAATGAAAAGGCAACTATCGACGCTACTTACCCTTTTTAAGACTTGCAAACTCACTGGCTGCGCTGCTTAGCGATGATACACCCTTGTTCATGTTTCGCAGTAGCTTCAAACGCTCACACAGCTTTTCTTGTTGCTTTTCAAGTAGTGTAGGCGCGGCGCTGAACTGACCTGAAAAGCAATATAGATATCTTATTGGTAGTTATAAGTTAACTAGCCGGCCACGGATGCGCGAGGCTTCGCCACGCGCTGAATATATGCATATGTATGTACATTTACGTATTTGGAGAAAGAAATCATATGTCATCATGTACTTCGTTTATTATATACATAAAAAAAATCTTGTCTAAATCCGTTCAGTAGCGTGTTTAAAATATCTCGCCTTTCCTTTATACTATGTATAGAAGGTAGTAATTTTAAATAGGTGGCAACCCTACTCAAAAAATTCAAGTTTTTGTTTATGCGAAGGCCATGGGCCATGCACTTTCATTTGGTATCTCATTTTCTTATCCAACGAACGGTAATCTTATAATTTTTAAACGGGTGGCAACCCTATTCAGAAAAATAATACATTACACATCCAGAGGCCATGTCTTTTCATTTGACAGTGACGGTGCAGAACTGACGCCTACGCTTATTAGAATTGAATATAGTAATTTTCTTAACAGGTGGCAACCCTAATAAAATTCTAATTTAAAAAGGCCACTCTCTTATCAATACAGAATATATTAAAGAAAATCTCGTCAAAATCCGTTCAGTAGTTTTCGAGATAACCGCGTACAAAGAATCTCGACTTTCCCTTATACTAAGTACATATATAGATTTCCTCATGATTTTTTTTTTAATAAAATTTTAACAATTCTGTACAGTTCAATTCATTTTTAATTTATGATTATTTTACAGGGTTTCTTGAAAGCTCACTATATTTTATATAGCGCTCGTTTAATAATAAAGAGATGTGACTCAAAATTTACGTTTTCGGAGATTTCATTATGCAATTAATAAGCTTGGCGAGTAGAATATGTTCAGTCTAACAGATAACCACATTTACCAAGTAATGGCGAGTATTTCCATCTATCTTTTTGTATACCAACTGTATGAATTGATAAAACTTTGATTGCGTTTTCCCACAAAATTAAAATTTTGAAATACTTCGTTATATTATTAAACTAGCGATATTTCCTCACACCAAATTTTCATATCCATAACACTCACCTTTCCTGCCATCATCATCGTTATTCAGATTTGTCGATGATGTATCACTCGTATTGCCACAACTGCTGCTGCCGGTGCTACTGTTCAACAGCCCCGTCACATCATCGTATGAAGCACTGTGACGCTTATGGTGCTGCTCTATCTCGGATCCACTGTGATGGCGCTTGCGCTCCGGCGAATTGAGTGTGTATTTATTGAGTGTCAGCGTTGTTGGCGAAGAGGACAATTGCCTGGCCATCTCCTCAGGCGAAGCATTAACAATACTGTTATAAGCTTGCACAAAACTGTTGTTCAAGGAATTTGACATCAAATTGCTGGCGTTGCCTGGTGTTGTTGGTGCACTAACCGTCGTCGCTGGCGTGTCGGGTGTACCACACGTTGTCGCATCCGATGACAACTGCATACGTTTACGATACTCGTTGATAGAAAGTTTGCGCTTCGGCGCAGGTGGTGGTTCAGGCAAATTCAACTGTGGATTAAGACGCGGGTCATGGCTGGCTGTACGTGTTAGCGGCAATTTCATGGGTGTTGGCAATTTACTGACTACCGGAGCCTCAATTGCTATAGCTGCGACGGATGTGTTTTCTACAACAGTATTGCTGTTACTGGACGTGCTGCTATTCGTTGCTTTTCCCACGCTCTGCAGCAAGCTACTTGTGTTGCTTACGCTGCCGCCACTTATATACGCATGTGTCTGCGACACGTAAGCGCCCATTGTTGTGCTATAGCTTTTTACTTTGGTGTCCAAATACTCAGATAGGCTTATGTTTGCTGAGACAATTGTCGGTGCAGCGTTAACTGGTGTGCCAGTGGAGCCGGCCAACGGCGTCGCTGCACTGCTCAGAGTTGACGACACTAAGACGGGAGAAGTATCACGTAATTTACCATAAATACTGTTATACGTCGAGGCAGCGGTATTGTTGACAGCGCTGTTACAAGCCAGCAAACTGGCGGGTCCAGCCTTAGAAGAATGCGCCGCGAGCGGCATAGTGGCAGCGTCAACAACAACCGATGGTAGCGGCGGCGGTAAAGTGGTTACACCAACGCCCGTCGCTGATGACATCGTTGGCAGTGGCGGCGTGTGCGATACCGCAGCTGCCAACTGGCTGAGCGTGGGTTGCATTGGAAGAGTCTTCAGTAGACTATGCGTCGGCTGCTGTGCAGAGCTGGATGGTGGCGGCAACGCCGGCGTTGGCACATAAGTGGCGATCGGTGTACCCATAGAAGGATCGACACTGCTGCAAGGTACCGCGCCGATGCCGCTGAAATAGGCAGCCATGAGCGGCGGTGGCGGTCCGCTAACAACCACATTATTGAAATGAGGTATGGCGACATGCTCGCGCACATACGCGGCTGGCGGCAATGGTGACGCGTGCGTTCCTGGCAA